GAGAAAACTAATAAATAAATAAGGTTATCATATAAAAACGCATCATAGTTTTAGAAATTAATACTTTCTTGGTGTATTGTCTCTAATTAAAACGTTGTGGCTATTTAAAATTTTTTTGGGGCTCATTAGACAATTCAAAAACTTAAAAAAAACAACAGAATATGTCTTTGACAAACAGCAACAATTTAGATATTATTTAGATAATGCGGAATAAGTTAAACGCTGGAGTGTGACACTTATAGTGTTAGTGGCTTGTCATATGAGAATACCGCAGTACAATGAGACAAAGCCTGTAGTTATACATTTCTTAACTTCACGCGTATCTCTGCCTCAGGCCACATACAGACACTCAATACGCATAATTACATTTTCATCCTCCAAAAAAGCCTTGACTTTCAGCTTTTCTGGGGTCTCTGTGAGCCTCCTTCATCTGATGAATATTAATGTATTGTTGGTGTTTCAGCATCTGTCTGTCAGTCTGCAGGCACTTCTCCTCTGCGAGAGGTGCGGGACGGGCTTTTGGGCAACTCTGCAGTGTTTTTGGCGAGATGTCAAAACTTTTCGGAGCGAAGTTACGGGTTTTTGGTGGAGAAGTGTAACAGGAGATGATGCAATGGAAGGAAGCCAAGAGGATCATTAAAAAAAGGACAGATGCTACTTTGTACTTAAGTGTGTTTGGAGTTGTCAGATATAAAGATGCCAAAGGCAATTAAAGGGTCTGATATCAGAGTTTTTTTTTTTTTTTTTTGATATATTTGGCATCTAAGACACTTTTTTTGTGTGTTCTCAGATTTTAAAGATAAAAACAACAACAACAAAAATCTCTTCTGTAGTGCTTAGGTACATGGTACACTAAAATAAAAAAATAAAATAAACTATATATTATATTTAATTTAATTATAAAATAGTTAAATAAATCTATTTATTGCCATTGTACATGATACATTGAGATAAAAAGAATAAAATAAAATAAAATAAAAATATTTTAAAATAATAAAAAAGAAATGTTTTTTCATAATTCAAGATTTAATGTAATTATAAAACACTTAGATAAAACTATTTAATGTTATGGTGCAT